GTAAGTTTACTCTTTACTAATGTACTTTTACGCAAGAAAAAAAATCTATTAAGAAATGCCCCAGCATTACCCTGTGATATCAAAGCATATACTCAAAGTCTGTTTAACCAACTGATACTATGATTCATTTAAAAAAAAAGCCTCAGTATTTTTGCAGACATCAACTGCTGGAATAACTGCTGTTGTAATTCTAGGGTTCTATTTTAACAGTTAAAGGAGAGACATCTGGCAATAATCTACAAATAAATAAAGTGTCTCCATTCTTAGTTTCTCCTCCAAAACACTACCTAGGACATTTTTGCAGCATGATTCATATAATCAACATAATACATTACAATGCTTTTCAAATAATTCTGAATTCTCAGTTCATTCAATAAAGAACTCATTTTCAAAAGAGAAAAGGGAACATGCCATGCCAGAAAACTTGCTTTATTGACTCAGTCCTGCTGCCAGGAGGAGCAACACAGCGAAGCAAACTCCATGATTTCAAAAGCAATTTTTTACAGTGGGGGCAGAGAGAGAAAGAGGCTTATTTACCGAAATGTGAGATTCCACAGGTGAGGCCAGAGACGGTCTGAAATCCTCTTCCTCTAGTTCCAAAAGTTTTAATTTATGATGAAGCCTGTAATAATCCTTTCAAGCTGCCAGGTAAAACGCACGCCATATCTTAGCTGTATTTTCTTTCGCCCTTTTGCAGCGTAACTTTGTTATTTGCATAAAGCTTAGTTCTGGCCTATGGGACTTTTTGAACATCTACATGTTAGATTAGCTGTCTTGACATGCTCTATCAAGCATGACATCATGGATCTCCACGGTAACCTTAGCCACACCTGCCCAGATGCCAGAGTTACCTGTCATGTTCAGACCTAACTGAACATAACAAAAGAACCTCAGCCACCATTTTCTAGGCACTCGGCCTTGCACACGCACCGGAATGGTTTGGGTTTTTTTTTTAATTGACGGAAATCTAATCTGTTCGCCAATAAATTTGCTCTTCACAGAGCACTGGCTGAAATGCTGGAGTTGTTGCTGACCCTTCCACATCTCCCAGTGTATTTCCTAGTCGAACAACAACAAAAGCAAGCCATGGCAAACATCTTCCAGCTCATTTTCTAAAGGCACATTCAAAAAGCTCCAGCTCTGAAAAACTCTTGCACACTCATTTTTGTTCTCTGCCCCTTAGAAACTTTTTTTTTTTTTTTAAGCGAAGTGACTTGTAAAACAGGTTCAGGGGAGGGATTACCCCCCCTCCCATGGCCAGGTTAGCATTTTAACCTCTTAATTGCAAATTCTTTTTCATCCTCGCAGCCACTGGCCCAGCTCTTATACTTGTTCCTGCTCTTTCCTTCCCTGCTGACCGGAGTCAACCCCACCTAAGCAGTGACCGCGTCCTGCCATGAGCTCAGCAGCAGATGATTCACACCATCTCAAACTTCAGAAGACCGAGACTGTTTTCCTCCTTCCTTTCTCTTTTTTCTTTCTAACCTTCCTGGGGATTACGTTAGTGCCTTGCTTTCATTAACACAGACGAGACAGCCTTGGCAGAGGCAAGGTATCCAAAGCTCTTGCAGAAGCTTGCATTACCTATAAAAAAGATTTTGTTCCTTGGCTTTCCAGGCTTCCAGGTGGAGGCAGCTCTGGTGCCTGGCTGCGGGATTCTCTTGCAAGGGGGAAAACCTGCAGCGGGAGGGCGAGCCGCTGGGCTGTGGGTTGCACAGCTGTGGCCTTGGAGTGCTGCGTTCCCCTGTGGGCATTTTGGGGTGCACAAGGCATTGGCACGCCTACAACCTCCAGCTGCTGCAAACTCATGCCCCAGTTTACCATGCAGACCAGCTTAGCTGCAGGTTATTTGACTTGCAGCAGTACCCCAAGGCCCTTGTGCAAATAAAGATGGCCCCTGTCTCTGTGAGCTTTCCTTTCCAGAATAAGGTATCACAAACAGGGTAACAAACCTGCAGGGTGGAGGAGGGATGATCTGTGTGCACAGCTGGGAGGTTTCAGGTCACAACGTTAGTTAACCATCAGTAATCCCCACTGGCATTTTACCTGGCCATGACTGTACTTCTGATTTGTGGCAGGTTATTAAGAGTAGAAACAGGTCCTCAGGTGGCACATCCAGGGAAGGATTTATCTGAATAAACAAAGCCTGGAGGAAACTATTAATATGTAGTGGAAGATATGGGCAAGATTCAGAGCTGACCTTCCTGGTGGAGGTGACATGGTATGTTCCGACAACATCAAACATTTTTTCCTGATGTTTATTTACTGCAAACCAGGGGTCAGTTTGCTATACTCAGATACTGATGGTTAAAATGGACAATAAAAGAAAGTCCACAAAAAAAGAGACAATTACCAGTCTTGATTTTCTGGCCCATTTTTGTTGGTTATGGACCTGACAGGATTTAGAGCAACCTGGAAGACAAATGATATGATATCCAAGGGACTATGTCCTGACTGTAAATATCGGGATGTTTTATGTACCAGGTGCACCATTTGACATAGAGATTAGAAAATGATGTTGCATTGGCTACTAGCCTTGATAGGTCTCCCACAGTGGGGAAATTCCCACCATGGATAATGTTGCCACTTTCCAGATATTGGAGCACCTGGAGAAGCAAGAAGGGAGGCAAGGTACCTAGAAAATAAATCATAACATTGTAATTCCTGTCTTCCCATACATCTTACAGATTTTGTATGTGATGTATATATGTTACATACACATACCTACTACATGTGAATGTAGTTTGTCTTCTACACTACTGCTACGCACATACATATACAAGGGGAAAAAAAGGAAGTATATATGCTATATACACGCACCCTCTGAAGGAAAATTATGCTATGGTCTTATTCACAGAGCAGCTAAGTAAACCTGCATTACACATACACATATAAATATATACACATACGCCTACGTGCATATATAGATGCCTATGTATATATGTACATGCACACAGAGATACATACATATACACACAAACACACACAAAATACACAGATACGTGTGTGCATGCATAGACACAACTGATCAGAAAAAAACCCTTTGAACTGTAATGCCATGACCACAATAATCTGTTACTGCATCTGATGAGCCAGACTTTATACATTTCAACTAAACAAATTTCTTACAATCAGCTGGAATAAATTATTTCTGCATGTTTTTAATGTGGCTTCTGTTCGGTTTATCTTTTTTTTTTAAGTTATGCTGAATGGATGGATTCTTCAGTCTTTCCCATTCCCAAGAAAGATAGTTTGATGCTCTAAGAGTAATTTTAAAGTTATTTTGTTTTAAAATTCACACTCATTATGTACAATACATATGTCTAATAATCAAAAAATAGAAGCAGGAGACATTCACATGAATTTTACCCTCAATAAATTAGCAAGGATGACACATTTTAAACAAATAGCAGGAACAGTTACTGCATTCTTTCTGTAATTTATTGCCTTCAGAAAAGGCTCAAATTACAAAATGTGTAGGGTGTAATGCTGTAGGCTGTTCAAACTGGGTTTGCAGTGTCTGCAACACTGGAACTAAATATTTACATGACTCCAAAAGATCTAATCTCTGGATTTCACCCCACTCCCACCCCCTTTATTTAATTTGTATGCTATCTTTATCCACCACCCGGCACATTCCACACAGTCACTAAAGTTCATAGAAGAGATAAGTGGGAAGAGAGAAAAAAAAAAAAAAAAAAAATCAAGACTTTCAAAGGAAAGGAGGGAAGCTGTTTAAGGAACAGATCATCCTCTTTAGAGCTAAAGTCTCACAGCAATTTTAGCTGGATACATATGGATTCTAGCAGTTGTGTTTTGAGGCAGTGATAGCACCTGGGATCTCCAGAAACCCTATCAAAGAGAAGTTGTAGGGGGGAGTTACCAAATGACAATCTTTCCAAACCTGTAACAATGGTCAGATCTCCAAAGGTTTGGAAAGCTTCAAAAGATGCTTGGAATTCAGTAAGAACTCCCATAGCAGAGTACAGTATTTTTCCAGCCAGTTTTTATTCCTTATTTACAATTAATTTCCTGCTAGTACTGAAATACCTATAAAACACTAAGAAAAAAAAAACTTTTATAAAAGGTTTGCTGTCAATAATTTGTTAAACTGAGAATAACAGGCACAAAATTTTTCAGCCTGACCTCTAAGTTCTGCTGTTTGATTGAAAAATATGAACTATGGAATAGAACATAGATTGTCTGTAAAGCCGGACAGATTAAACTCTAACATCACATCCAAAAACAGAGCCCAGAGTTAGGCTGTGAACAGATCCTTGCACAGCATTCCCTGAATTCAGAAGGTCAGCATGACAGCAGCCTCCGCCTGCTCTGAGAAATACATCAGCGTGTCACATCTCCTCTGACCCTACATCTACTTTTCTCTGCTGAAAAGCAATTGGAGGCAGGCGAAAAGCAAACCACCTGAAGGTACACTGCCGGCAGACCAATGTGGATGTCAGAACAGCTTGGAGGAGGCAGATACCTGTGGATAAGTCCATTCTGTTTGTATTAAAAGACTCAAAAATAGAAAAGAAAGCAAATGAAAGGGTAACAGAGCCAGCTAAAGCATACAGACACACTCTACGGATATTTTCTTTTCTCCCGGGCAGTGGTGCCAATACTGAAAGTGTAACAGAAGTTAACAGCTGTTCCATATTTTCCCTTCAGCTGTGAAAAGTAGATGAAGACCCATATACTAAGATCAAGAGTCTCACCTTCATCCATTTCTCTGTGTATAGTCTAAAAAAAATTAAAAGCTCTTCATAAAATGTCAGTTTCAACAAACGATTCCAAGGTAATATTGAATAATTTCATTTTTATTATTGTTTCTTTGAATTTCAAGGGAGCAACTGAATCTTAGGCTATATTAAAAAAAAAAAAACCAACTGTTTAATGCTTTGTTACAGTCTCAACTTCTATAATGAGGTAACACTCAACTCTGTAGAAGTTGTAAGGACTGTTTAACAAAAAGCAAGATACAAATCTGAGTTTCATACCTGATCTCTCAGTCTCTCCTGGTGTCCCATTATTGCTGTAGCATGGTGGGGATATTTCTGTTTCAGATGCTCAAGAAAAGCCTCTCTCTTCCTGTCCATTTCTGAGGTTTGCATTCCCAGTATTTCTTTGGAACTGCGAGGGCCACCTACTGTATGTCTTCGAGGGATGTTGCGGGTGGACTTTGAATTAGAAGAAGTGTGACTGTTCGGGGTCGAAAGAAGCTCTTTAGATCGGAGACATTCTGCATCGTCTAGTGATGTTACATGCAAACTGGTTTTTGCCTGGTCTGAAAAAAAAAATAAAACAAAAACCCCAAACCAGAATATTGTAAGAACTTAATCCCAACACTCACATTAATAAGAAAAAGAAAATAATCGATATAAAAGCTAGATTCTTTTAAAAGTCTGGTACCATTCAATGGCACGTTCTCCATCATTAGGCATATATATGTTGTAAGAAGCAGCCCAGAAATAATAATTTATATAAGCTATGCACAGTATTTACATACTTTTAACACACAACTGCAGTTATTACCTCACAGAAAAGCGAGCATCATTAAGGTAGATATTCCTTTTATATCATCTTTACCACTATGTGATTTGAAAAGAAGATCTGACAGGACCCTTATTCCCTGACCTTTAAAACCTACAGGATGCTTTCCACGAGAGGACACAGGTTTCTTCACTAGGCTCCAGTACACTTAATGGCCCTGTAACTAGTATCCTTAAGGATACCAGCTGACAAAATTCCTTTGACAAGGAGATTTGAAGTCCTTGATCTTTTTTCAGTGTGTTTTCAACATGCTCTGAAACACCTATGAAATAATAAAAGGGGTTTGGAAGCTTTTTTTCTTCATTTCTGACTGTGGTCCGGTTTTAAATTTCACAGATCTCCCCTGGATTTTATATGTCTCGGGATAGCAGGCTGGAAAATCCTACATCACTTTTTCAATAAACCATTCCTTAAGAAACAGAATAAAAGCAAGTTTTATCTGATATAAAAAGAAAAAAAAAATCAGATAAACTTTACAGCTTTAAAATCTACTTTAAGACCAAAGACCATGACAAGGTTTGTAAAGAGATAGGCAGACACCGAGGGTATGTAAGTGCTGGCTTATCTTCAGGTAACTGTGTAACACAAACCCTCTGGTGCATGAAAAAGTGTAGTCTGGAGCCTTGTTACCTAATACCTTTGAAAAATCCCTCATTCCTTTGTCAGCAAAGGAAAGGAGAAAGAAAAAAAAAAACAACCAAAAACCAAACCAAAACCCAGAAGCATTGAAAAGGCCTCTCCAAGCCTGATGCAGCCTTCCCCATCTTTACGGGGCAGCCTCAGACCTCCCTGCGAGTGTTAACCCCTTACAGCACCTCCCCAGGAGCAGGAAGCTCCTTCCTCTACATCTTTTTAATACATCCCTATTTCTCTCCGCCTGACATTTTTCACCTCAGAGCCCTTTATCCCCCCAGTGACTGTCTCCCCTGCATGCTGCCATTTATATGGCACTGCTGTTTGGAAACAGGCACCTACTCACTTCTTTTTATGGTTCAGTCAGTCAGTCTGACACCCTGCCTACCACTTGCCTCAGGATTTTATGCTGAGGATTTTTCAGCTTTCTGGTGTGCCCTGCCAATTGCCTGCCAAGCCCTGCCTAACATCAAGCCCTGGTAATAAAGTAAATCCTCCACTGCTGGGGCTGCTGCTGCTGTGATGCCCCACCAATCCATACAGGGAACCAATTCCTTTGGATTTCAGAGGACTGGGCCCTGGAAGGTCCTCAAAAACTTCGTGTGTTGCTGTACGCTCCCTATAATGCTTAAGGACTCCAAAATATCAACAACATCCTCTGGTTTGCATTCATGGAAACCTATCCCAAAAGCAGGACCGGACAGGAGCCCAGACTGCAGGTGGCACCGAGCTTTGATGAGCACAGATCCAGGCACAACTTTGGAAACAGGTCTGGTCCATGGGGAAGTTTTGCTCTCTTGCAGATTCAAAATGCCATCTCTCATCTCCGCAACGCCTTCTAAGACCTTCTTAGAAGCACAATCCTTAAACCTTCAGAGCAGCAGCCTCACGTGTGCATGTACACACACACTCACACATTCAACTTTTCCAAGCACAACTCAATTAAAAAACACCCAGCCTCGCTGATTACTGAAAATTCAGAGCACCGACTGCCAGGTACACTCGGCTTTTTTGAGAAAAGTGGCAAAAAGGAGAGTTTTGCACGCAAGAAGTAAGTGTGGCTACTCCAGATACACTCAATCAAAATGGTTTCTGAAAGCTGCACAGTCATTTCAGTGAATTTTACACGGGAGGAAAAAGAGGCGGGATAGGGCTGGCTGGAATTTACCGTCTTTAATTTGTTGCACCAAGAGCCTGGAGGTTACATCCCTGAGGCTGTTGGAACAAAGGCAGCAGACATAAATAAGGGATTTCCTTGGAGCTCGAGGGAGTCAGCGGCAGCATGGGTGACTGAGTGCAGCAATTTGGTGTAAACCCTTAAAGCATGGTCACAGCAGCAGTTTCAATCACTGAATTGGTGGCAGGCCTTTCCTCAAGAAGGCAGGTAAACCTACACTGACAAACACAACCCAGAGCTCAGGAATGTGTATTTTGGGTCCTATACCTCTCTCATGCAAAGCCTTTCCCTACCCTGCACTTCAGTCATTTCAATAGTTGAAGAGAAAGCTAATTATTTGGAACATAAAGAGCCGTATCAAGTAAAGTGTTTTACCACTATTTGTTATTGGGTGAAACCTTGAGAAGAAATCAAAAATAACATCTTTTTCTTATACTATATTAGAAAGATCAACAAATTCTCATATTTTCTTTCATATATTTGGAAAATACTGTATAAATACCAGCGAAAAGAAAGGAATGTAAACTATGCAAACTAATTGCTAGTCTTGCCAGCGAGCTGACCTGGGCATTCAGCACGATCCAGCGGCATTACAGCACACAGCAGCACGTGATTTTCTTTGCAAACCAAACGCTCTGCCGTGTTTGAATATGGGTCTTTCTCCTACTAATTGCTGAAAAAAAGTCTTCCTTGGCCAGTTCCTAGATAGGGACAAGTGATTTTGATGGCGGGGTTGAAAGCTGGGCCGGTGAAACCCCGCCGTGTACCTCGGGGCACACAAGCTCCACAGGTGCTGTGTGGGCCACAGTGCTACAGGCGGGAGAAACGGAGAGAGGTTTTCTGGATCCTGGAGTTGCTCAATAACAGCGTGGGCAAACTTTCCGTATCTTCCAAGTAAAGATAATAGGCCTAGAAAATCAATCCCCACAGATAACTGTAAAACGTGTGAAGGATCATGTGATGGTTCCCAGAAGAGAGCTAAGAGTAGCGAAAGGATAAATCATGCAAGTACCCTCCTTGGAAAAGGAGTAAAGAGAAGCCAGTGGAAAATACAAAGGTGTGAGATAAGCTTGTCTCCCTCTCTCCCTCCCTCATACTCAGAAGCTAAAAGCTGAAGGTCTTTCTGTTCAATAAAGTAGCAAGTCTAGAGGGCAACAAAAAGCAAGACTTGCTGATTGACAGGGGACAGGTTTGGTTATCCAAAGGCTTGAGTAACCCTTACACTTGAGTTGCTTCTCCGATCTGAAAACAAATTTCAAGATTTCTTAACATTACCCATTACTACAGTGGATAAAACTACAGGAAAGGCCCAGGTCTGCTGCGTAGAAGCAGTATGCCTAGGATTATCAGGAAGATTATCGTGAATGATTAATTGTTGTGAGCTGGCAATTAAAAAGAAGAAAGTCCTTCAACACGTCCCAGTATGCAATTCTTCTAAGTCACACCCTCCATGAAGTCTACAAAGGTCAGGAAAGTCACTTTGCTTCATTACTTTAAGTGTTGTGAAGATTTTAATAGTCCTGTTTTGCAACCCAGGTGACATGAGAGAAGAACATTTTCAGAATAATTTCAGAAAGCACGAAGTATGAACCTGACCCATACTGATACTATGAAACTAAGCCTTGAAGGAAATCACATCCAATACTTCAAGTTTAAAAAAGAATACAATACTAACAGCATGAGTCAAACCCACCTCCATTATATTTATGCTAGCAGTAAATTTGAGATTATTTGGAATCTTTCTAATTTACTCCACTGTCTTTACAGTTAGCTCTCTTTCCAAGGAACTTTCGAATGCAAATTTTGGAAATGGGCCAAAACTACTACAATTGGTTATGAGCTTTCAGCGTTCAAAATTTTGGGGAATCATAGGATTGGTCTGGTCAGACCTCTGTTTTTCTAGCTCCACGTGTATCTCAGGCAGCTTCATACAACCCATACAGAAGAAATAAGTTACTGAAGACTTTTTTTTTTCCTATTCAGACACATCTTTTAAGTGAAAATTTCCATCCCACTAAACATAAACATATACACACACAGATGCACGTGACTTGCACTGCCCAGTATTTTAACTTAAAAAATTATTCAAAAGAGCATCAAGCAATTAATGAACCCCCAAGAAAAAGAGGTAGTTTTTTTCCTCCTAAATTCTCTATGCACTATTTTCTGATATTACATACTTGTAAACTTGAGTGATTTTTTTTTTTTTTTTTTTTAAAAACCACAGGTACCCGCCCATGCACTATTTACTTCACAGAAGCACAGTACCACAACTTGTTCTGAAGTGCCTATGAGGAACAGAATACACATGAACTGGGAACGTTCACAGGTGCTCTACAAATACTGTCACAGATATAGATTAGATGAGGTATTTGTCATGCTACCTGAATGTTATGCTCCACGTGGAATAGCCCACGTAGAATTCACTAGGACACAGTTTTCATGCGCTTTTAGACCAAATATGTAGTGCAACAGTAATTGCAGAAACGCACCAACAGCTGACCCGCCGGGAAAACCACGCTTATAATGTCTTGGCTTCGCTCCAAAGCAAACCCAACTGGTTTCACACAAAGTAAACTAACGCCGTGACAATCTGCCGTGAATCTCCCTCTTTTAAAAGACACCCCGAGAAAAAGATGGGCTCAAACCCACTTTTCGGAACGACGAGCTATTCCTCTGCCGTAGGCGAAGGATGCAGAGCATTTAAAGGGAACGTGACAGTATTTCTCCCCCCCTCGCGGGAGCAGCACCCTCCGCGCCAGGCAGCGTCCTGCAAGCCGTGACAGCGCTACCGCATGCTCCCTGCTTTACAGGGTGGACAGAAATCGCTCTAAAGAGAAAGTTAAACTCACGAAGTCGGAGTGTTAGGGAAGTCTGCAGAGCCATTAGCGCAAGACAGACACGCTTTTTCTTCCACGCATTCCGCCTCCGGTCATAAAAAGCCGCAACGAGGGGCACGTTCCAATGGAACTCCATCTTTGCCCGATTCTCTTTACTTACCCCTCATCTGCCTGCTGTCCGTCGTGCAAGCCAGGCACAGCTCAAGTTTCTGGCTTTCATTTTCCTCCATTGTCCCTGCCTACCGCCCGAGCTCCCCTCTCCAACTTGGAAGCGGCAGCGCCCGGGCTCGGGGAGGGGAAAGGAAGCTCTCCCTTCCCCGGCGCGAAGCCCCCGCTA